CAGATTCAGTTGGTACAAACTAAGGCCCAAAATGGAGACAGGATGAGTAGCCCCGCCCCAGCCCCCAAATAAAGAGCAGGCCAGAGCTACTGTAACTAGCTTGGCTGTCCCTAAGCCTAAACAATGTAAAAAACAAGCAGAAACAATGTAACGCACAGGAAGCTCACCAAAACACTGTGAGGCTGCGAGCTGCCTCTTCCAGAAATGCCTTCCAGGCCAGGGGTTTAGCTCAGCGGCACACCACGAAGTCATGAGTATGATCCCTGGTACAGAAAAAAAAAAAAAAGCCTCTTTCTCCAAGCTATGTGCCCTTGTAATTCCGTAGTTTGTTCCCTTAGATCAATATTAGCTAAGTAACTGTACTTGTAATCCTGTAGGTTGGTTGCAGTCTGACCTCAGGTAACCTGTGATGTGATTTTACTGTATTAAAAAATAAATAAATAAAACCTACACAAAAAGCCTCAGCGGCAGCCCAATTTCTAAACTCCTCCTGCCTCTCAGGAGCTTTCTGTTAGTAAAACTTTCCTGCTCTTCGCCTCCTTTGTCCTAGAGTCCATTTTTTGGCATCATGAGACTCAAACTCAGCACACCAGACTGTATTTTAATAAAAATAAAAGTCAAAATGACTACAGAATGAAGTCTCAAGAGTTTTGCTGCCAGGAGGAAGAGCTCATTGCAGACACCCTGCTGAGAACTGAATCCACCAGGGGGAGCAATTTTCTGGACTCTCACACCACCTGCAAGGTTTGGGGAACACTGGAGTGACCAATTTTGCCTCTTAATCTGAATATTTCAATATACATATCTATGTCCATCCTCATTTATGACAGTTTTTAACCAGTGGACTTGTCAAGAGCTCAGTCCACTTGCCTTCAGCTGAGCCCTGGTGTGGTCTAGCCAAACCTGCTTTTCTGGATTTGCACATCTGTTCTGCAATAAAAGCTGAATAAAACCATCTTTGTTTTATTTTAACCTCTCTTCTGATTTCTTGGTTTACCATTTCTGGAGAAAGGATCTTGAAAGAGGTAATTAAGATTAAACAAAGTCATATGTATGAGGGTGGGTTCTAATCCACATGGCTATGTCCTTAGAAAGAGGAGATCAAGCTGGGTGTGGTGATGGCCTGTAATCCCAGCACTTGGGAGACTGAGGCAGGAGGACTGCCGTGGGTTTGAGCCCAGCCTGGGCTACATAATGAGTTCAAGGGCAGCATGAACTATGTAGCAAGACCTTGTCTCAAAGAAAAAGTTAATTAATTAAAAAATAAAATAAAAATCGAGACATAGATGTCCACAGAAGGAAGTGCCTGTGGGACATAAAGACAGCCATCTACAATCCACTTTCTTTTTTTTAATTTTTTTTTTTTTTTTTTTTTTTTTTTTGTCTTTTTCTTTTTTTATCGGTACCAGGGATCGAACTCGCGACTGCCTGCTTGCAAGGCAGGCGCTTATGCCGCTGAGCTAAATCCCCAGCCCCTACAATCCACTTTCTAAAGCCACCTGAGAGCCCCCAGAAGAAACCAACCCTGCTGACACCCCGAGCTCAGCTTGTAACCTCCAGACTTCTAAGAAAATGAATACCTGTTGTTAAGCCACCAGGACTGAGGTACTTTGTTATGGCAGCCATGGCAACCTGAGGCAGTCCTGAAGGTGTCATTAAGGACACCCTGAGATGGTGCCATGGATCATTTTGTCCTAACATGAATCATTGTCAGAATTATTTCCTTTGGTTCCCAGTCCTGAGTTGCATATGTTTTTGACATGTTGTTCTTTGTCACTTCAGAGTCTGTCTGCCCCATTCTCTAGTTACTGGATGGGGAGGAAAAAGGACGTGAAAGGAGAACATTCTGAGGTGATGGGGGCAGGTGCTGTGTTCTGTTTTCTTCTGAGTCAAGACAAGATGGGAATCCTCCTGCAAGGTGAGCATGTCACTGTCATGCAGGGTTGGCCCCTTGAGAGTGAGTCTGGAAGTCAGTGAGTTTGGCTGAGGAGCCTGTGGCCACCTGTGCCACCTCGTTGTGAGTGGGCTCCTCGCTGAGCGTCTCCCAGGTTCCGCCGTTGCTATGGCAGATCCCACAGTGGTGCCCTGGGGTGGGAGCATGCGCAGTGTGACTGGAGTGGGGGCGGGGTGAGTAGGGGGAATTGGATCCCTAGGAAAAGAATCCACTCAACTGAGTGACTGATTTCTTGTGGGAAAGACGTTCAGCATCCGCTCCTCAGATGTCTCTCAGTTCTACTGAAATTTGGCTCAGTTCATATTGACCACAGCTGGGGAGGATGTCAAACTGTCCCATTTGGTGACTGGAGAAAGGAGATGGATTTGGGTATTTCATTTACAAAGACCCTTTCATCTACGTAGTTCTTCTGCTAACTTTGTCCCAAAATCTTAGCTGAAATGGTGATGGCCGTACTCCCCACGCTCGGGGTCTCTGAGGCAGGAGGATGGCAAGTTCAAGCCCAGCCTGGGTAACTTAGTGTCTCAGTGAGACCTTGTCTCAAAATTAAAAATTAAAAAAGGGCTGAGGATGTAGCTCAGTGTGAAAGCTTTCAATTTTTAGTACCACAAACAACAGCAACAACAAAACAAAATTAGCTCCTCCAATCACAGAACACACACAGATGGGGGAAGTATGGGAGTGGGGAGAGAGCTGATCTAGGGGAAGATCTCCCATTGCTTCACAAGTGGTTAAAGCAGGATAAAAATGAATAACTGGGGCCGGGGACATAGCTCAGTGGCACAAGCACCTGCCTAGCAAGTGCAAGGTCCTGAGTTCAATTCCCAGTAAACAAACAAACAAACAAAAGAAGCTTGCACTTCTGTTCCATCCCCCCCCCCCCAATCTCTTAGACTGTTTGTTTTTGAGACAAGGTCTTACTTTTTTTTTTCCCCCCGTCTTTTTCATTTTTAGCGGTACCGGGGATCGAACTCCCAGCCCCAAGGTCTTACTTCTTACTACGCAGCTCAGGAAGGCCAGGAACAATGGAGATTAAGCATAGGAAAATTTATTGAGACAGCTTCAGAGAGACCAAAGGGGATCTGAAAGTGGGCTACCGGGGCGGGGCTGAGGATTTAGCTCAGCGGCATAAGCGCCTGCCTTGCAAGCAGGCAGTCATGAGTTCCATCCCCGGTACCAATAAAAAAAAAGGAAAAAGGCAAAAAAAGAAAAAGAAAGTGGGCTACCTTGGACCCCACCTCACAGAGGAAGTTTAATGGAATTAAATCCCAAGATGGGCACAAAATCATGAAGTGGGTACAAAGTGGGTCAAAACCATGATCAACCAATACGATTAGAAGTATAGCTGCTTAGGTAGTATTGATCCAGTGGGGAGGCAGTGAACATGGGAAAAACAACAACCTTTTAAGGAAGGGATGTATCAGGAGATCCTGGTCACCCATTTGAGTGACTGACGTCTAGCTAGACTTTATTGACCAAGTATAGTGTAATCTTCAATTACTACTTATCCCTTCAAGAGGCATGTAGGCCTGGTCATTTTGCCTTTATCTTGAGCCCTATTTTCGACAGATGTGCCTCTAGGCACAGTTATAGCATGATCTTGTTTTCGGTACTGACTCTCTCAAGGGCCTAGCCTTGTCTGACCACCTATAATATTTTTCCCTAACTCAGCTGCCTAAAATAAAGTGATATGCTAACGTTCTCTCTACATACTATCTTCTTCCATCTTTCCAACCATCTTATAACATTGTTACCTTTAATATAATAGTGCTGGTAATTGCACCCAGGGCCTTCACAGAGAACTACATCCCCAGTCCTTTTTTTATTTTTTATATTGAGTCGATCTCACTAAGTTGCTAAGTTACCTAGGGTGGGCTTAGACTTGCTTGTCTTCCTGCTTTGGTATCCCAGAATGCTAGGATTACAGGACTGGCTTACATATCTCTATTTTGAGATGAGGAAACCAAGGCTTGTGAGCTCGAGATTGCATGACTGAAGAGTGGATCCAGGACCACGCTGAGCGAGCCTACCTTAGAGCCTTAGCAGGTGCCGGAAGCCCAGAGGAAACCCTGCATGAAGCCTTGATGGAGCCCACAGGATCGGCTTCTTTACCTTCTAGTGTAACCAAAGTACCTATCAGGTTCAGGATTTTAGAGTTTGCTCTTCAAGTCAAGCCAGTGGTTTAACTTCTTTCCTTGACCTACACCTGAAAAAAAAATTTCCATCTAATATCCAGCCTGCAAGACAGACAGACAGACAGACACACACACACACACACACACACACACACACACACACAAACGCACACACCCATTTTCATTGCTTTTTAAAGATCGAATGGGAAGACATGTGCTCCCCTAACACTAGTCCTTAGGAATGGGAATTTTCTCAACTCCGTGGGGCATTTCGTTCTCTCTCTCCAGGGCTAACACATTCCCTGCCAGTAAATTGGGTCTCTAGAGAGAGAGGCCCATTCATTCCTGATGCCACTGGTGTGCGCCCGCATCCTAAATGTAAACTAGGTGGAAAAAACGCATTGGCATCCCAAGAACTGACCCTGAACAACTCGGATCCAAAGCAGACTCCCGCCCCGAGCTGTTCTGCAGGAGTCCGCATTTGGAAACGTTTTGATGGTCATCTATCTTTTCACCCTGGTGACCGAGACCAGCGGACATCTCCCCACACACCGCGTTTAACGACAAAAAATGGGCGCGGGTGTGTGTCTCAGTCACAGCGCTGTGGGGAGGCAGATGGCAGCGGGGGAGGATGGAGCCCGGGAGGAGGCGGCTGCAACTCAGATCTTGATCGAGGCCTTGCAAGGCGGGGTGAGCCCAGGTGAGGGCGGCGGGGGCCAGGTGGGGCGGAGTTACAGGGCCGGGCCGGGTGGGCTGGGGAGGAGCGCAGCGGCGCCCGCCCCCCCCCTCCGGGCGTCCCCGCCCCCCGCCCGCCCGCCCGCCCGCGTCCCGGCGCCCGCGCGCTCCCGGTGGCGGCCAGGCAGGGGCGGCGCCCCGCTGCGCCCCGCTCCTCCCCGCGCCGCGCTCCCGCCGCCGCGCTCCCCGCGCTCCCCGCGCCCGCCCGGCGAGGCCCGCGCCCCGCTGCTCCCTCCGCGATGGCCGCGGCTGAGCGGGGCTGAGCCACGCCGCCCGCAGCGCCCCGGGCCCGCCATGGCGAAGCAGTACGACGTGCTGTTCCGGCTGCTGCTGATCGGGGACTCCGGGGTGGGCAAGACCTGCCTGCTGTGCCGCTTCACCGACAACGAGTTCCACTCCTCGCACATCTCCACCATCGGTGAGGGAGGGGCGCCCCTGCGCGCCCTGCGGACCCCCGAGACGGGGTGGGGCCCGAGCCTGGGCAGCGAGACGCCCAGCCCCGGAGCGGGCAGGGGGCAAGCTCGGGCTGCGGGGGGCGGGGTGCGGGCCCTGGGGCGCGCTCAGCTCGGGGTGACCCGGCGTGGAGCCAGGGCGAGGAGGGGCGTCTCCCGGGCACCGGAGTGAAGGTGAGCCGCAGGGTGGGACACCTGGAAGGAGGCGTGGACGCTCGGAAGCCGAGGACGAGGCAGGGACTGTCAGGGGGCCGGAGCATTTGTTTCCGAGGAGGCCAGGAGGATGAGGAAGGTCAGCAGTGCCTCTACTGACCAGCGGGCTGTGGCCCTGGTCTGCCTCGCTGACCTGGCGGTGGTTAAAGGGACAAGGCCTGAGGCATCCTGCACAGTGCCCTGCGGAGGCCACCTATTCTGGCAGTAGCTCTGTGGCCGCTCCTCAGAGGGAATCTCTCCCTCACGGGTCCTGAAAGGCCCCCTCCTGTGGGAAGCCTGACTTGAGGGGCTTCTGTCCCCTGCGTGGCTAGCAGTGAAGCAGCCTCTTCGTGGTCCAGGCGCTGTTGCTGGAACACCTGATGGAGGGAGTGTCACCCAAAGCTCTCCTAGAAGCCCCCTGTCTTCAGGAAGGGCTCCAGCCCTCAGCTTCCTCCGGAGGATTCCTCTCCCCACTCCCCGCCAACACACACTCTGCCAAGGGAGAGGACACACGTAGCCAGGAGGAACAGAACCTTGTGAAAGGGAGGAAGAGAGGTGGGATACAGGCACCCAGCTTTGGGCAGGGAGGGCTGTGCGCCCCTGGGGAGGCTCCTCAGGGAACAGGTGTTGTGGAAAGGGGTGGGAGGGAGCCAGGGAGTGGCCAAGAGGGACCAGATGGAGGATGAGGGTATGTTGGTAGGCTTGGGGACAAAGGTCAACAGGTTGCCTCTTCCTGAAACTGGCAATGCCTATTTTGGATGTGAATCTGACGCCAGGAACTGGCGAGCTCTCTGCAGAGAACCATGGGCTGCCTGGGGCCTGGCCTTTCCTCGAAGAGCAGATGTTCTGCTTGTGCTTGGTGTTCTGGCCACATCCCAAGTTGCAGGAGTGACCTGTCTTTTCCCTTTGAGAGTTTCACTCCCCTTATTGCAGGTGCACTCAAGACTCCTTCCTAGTGTCAAGGGAGTTAGCTTCCCCTAGGAGACACATGTCAGCAGATGGACAAGGGAGCCTCTATTTCTGAAATACTAGGATAGACCTTCTGAGGATCCCTTGTCCCACTGTGCTAATCACTAACCCTTCTTGTGTCTTTATCCTGGAATCTCCCTTGTTAGATGCCTCCTTCCTGCCAAAGGTGAATGAGACAGAGGCCAGGAACTTCCCCAGAATCCCTCTGGGGAAGACCTCCTTGGGAACAGAGGTGAATCAGAAAGCTCTGTCAGGTCTGCTCCAGACCCTCTTCCACCCAGGCCCTTGGTGTGTTGGCAGGAAACCTGAAGAGAGTTCTTGGAATTCTGTCTCTGCTGACTGCCAGGTCCCCTGTCCACTGGATGCAGAGGAGGCCTTAGAAGTTTGGGTTCTGTGCAGAATGAAAACCACCTTTCTTCATGCCAGCCTGGTTAAATCTGCCCCATTGGGCTTCCTAAGTACTTTCTTATTTAAAGCTTAGTGAGGGCTTGTGATTCTTCCTCATTTTGGCCAAGTTTCTCAGCATTAACTAAAACCTAAGGGAAAGAGTTGGATGGTTAAGAAGCTTTTTCCTTAGGTGACTTGAAAAGTTTTCTGAGGACATGGAAGGGCAGCCAAGAGCCAAGGAAAATGGGGTGGCCAGGTCATATTCATTCTTGTATCTGTTTCCCAAAAAACAAGTGCTCTGTCTACTAGTGTGGAGGCTCCAGAATGAATAACATACCATCACCATAGTCAAGTTGCATCCAAACCACCTTTCCCCATGCTGGGCATCAATCTAGGTACCAATCTAGGGAGTGTTCTGGCGCGATGTCTTTTTATGTGTGTGAAAGGGGAAAACAAGGCAGTTTGCCAGTTACTGCCAAGGCAAAGTTCGGATTCTTGGCTCATGTGGATGTCATCTAGGCTGGCTCTTGTGTGAGCTGTTGTGTACTGTGCTTGCTGTGACATTTCATAGAAGAGCCTGCTGGGGAGCAGTGAGATCTTGTAGGTAGACAGAGGCACGGACTCTCCCTCCTGCATCTTTCTGGCCAGCAGGTGGGCAGGTGGCCTTCAGCTGGGTTTGTGCCAGTGTGATTGTCCCTTTCTCCTGCAGCTGTTTTCTCAGATGGGGACTCGTGCAGAGGAGGACAGTCAGAGCCTTCAGTTCTCTGCCTATTTCCTGACAAGACTGCCTAGCCTGTTGCAGTAATTAAGCATTCTACCAAGCACCAGTGTAGGCATTTTAGAGACGTACTGCAGTCCAACTTTTCCTTTTCCTGCCCACAAAAGCTTTCTAGTTGGGAAAGAACACACACACACACACACACACACACACACACACGCACGCACACAAGACTATTGCCAAAAGGAGGTAATAATCAGAAGTACTTGGTGAAGCGCTCTTCAATATACAGGATCAGCCATTAGCGCTCCTCTTAATGAAGGTCTCTTGAAAGGTCTCATGGTGGTTGTCCATGTGAAGCATGGAAGACGTGCCCTGATGAGAGGAGTGTTACTGCTTTTGGCAATCAGAGGAGAGAGGCCCCTGTGACGTCCAGCTGACCAGCGGGGAGGGCCGAAGCTGGGCCTGCAGTGTGGGCTGTCTGGATGGTGCCAGCAGAAGGGAGCAGATGAACAACAGTGAGCAGAGATAGCAGAGGTGCAAAGTGCGTGGGTGCTCCTGGACGGGGGCAGTCTGGCTGCAGGCAGAGGGAGTCTTTAAAGGAGGATCAGAACATTCCTCTGCTTATTGCTCTGTCTCCCAAATGATAGGTGCCTTGAGGGTAAGACCCAGTCTTATCCCTTTGTTTTCCTAGGCTCCCGTCCAGGGCAGGCCGGGTACCATCTCCATACATGTTGTTAAATCACAAAAGAATGCAGATTGAGCCATTGGCAGAGGCATGAAGGGCCTGGCAGTGGATAAAAGTGTTTTGGAGAAGGGTGCTCTTGATGTTGGTTGAAAGAGGTGGGTAGGACTCAAAGCAGGGAAACAGGTCAGGGGCTGTGCAGCTGTGCATCCAGGCTCAAGGAACCTCTTAGGCACTTCTCCTTCCCCTCCCACCCCATCTTATCTGGTGGTTCCAGTGCCAACCTCCACTGCTTAGATTTCCTTTCAGGTGAAGGAAGGGGCTCAAACCTGTCAAATGACCAAAGGGGCTCATCTGGCCTGTGCCGTCTACTCAGGCAAGAAGATGCCCTGCATGGACATCTTCATCCACAAGCCTTGTGATGCCCTTTCTGGTTGGTGACCCTGCGTGGTCTGTAAGCCACTAAACTAAGCTGGAGGAATTGCCCAGGGGCTGGTTTTCTCATCTTTGTCTACCCTGAATAGACCTCACAGGGTCTCTGGACCTTTTGTTTGAAAAGCCAAGCTTAGGCGGCTCCCCTTGTGGTTGAGGAATCTTCTTGGCTGTGACTTTCTGGCTGGACTGGTTGGACCACTATGGCCTGAGGCTGCTTTCTCAGCTGGGTCCACTGCTGCACCCTCAGCTTCCTGAGGAAGTGCTACCAGAACAGCTCCAGCTGCCTGAGGTGCTGGCTAGGTGGGGTGGCTGAGAGAGGCAAGAAGGGAAGGACCCGGGGCTAGAGCTGAGCAGAGCACTGAGTGACCCAGCAGGCGCTGGGGTGCCTGCGGGGGCACTGCAGCCCTGGGATCTCAGGAGTATGTACAAATGCAGGGCGATGTGGGGGGCAGGGTGAGGGCAGGCTCTGCGCTCTGCTGCAGGGCAGCTGGTAGTGACTAGGCTCTTCCCACCCTGCTCCCCAGTGGAGATGATGGGCCTGCGAGCTGTGGTGAGCAGAGGCCTGAGCAGAATGGAGAGAGCCTGGTAGGATAGGCACATTCTCTATGTCTTTACTGGCTCCATGACCTGCAAACACTTATTTAACATCTTTGTGCTAAGTTCTGAATCTCTAAATTGAAGACAGTAACAGAATCTTTCTTAATGGTCGTTGGGAAGATTACAAAAGCTAATGGATAAAAAGCACTTATCAGTGCTCAATAAAAAGAGAGCTGCCATCATTATATTATTATTCTAAACTCTTAAGAATGTTGCAGAGACCAATATACTGTCTGCACCGGCCATGAGGTCATCCTACTCATCCCTCATGGGCTCAGCGCTTACTTACTGAAGTGTCAGGTGCCAAGTGCTCAGAATGGGGGGATATGTGAATAGGATCTGTATTCACTTGTTTTTGCCCCAGTACCCGGCTGGCCCTGGCCATCCAGTGTCTGAGGAGGAAGAGGGACTTGGTGAGGACAGAGGTGGTGCTGCTTCAAGTCTGGGGCCCCTTCCAAGGCATCGCTCTTCCTCCAGCCTCCATTTGGGTTCCTCCTTTTAACACAGGCACAGACCTGGCCTCCCACACTCTTCCCCAAAGATGGAGCCCCTGGGAATGAACACATCTGAGGCCACAGAGGGTTTCCACTGATGTACACATTTGCACACCTTCCCAGATCTGCAGATTCCCTCATGGCCTTCCGGGTGGTTTTCCTCTTCCCTCCCTGAACTCTCTGCTTTCTGTTCCTCCTCCTCCTCCCCCTTCCTTGGCTGCTTGGTGAGGAGCTTTCTAACATGAAAGTCGATCTTAGGCCATTAGCCTTCTACCTTGATCGCCAGCTCTTCTCAGAATGCCTCCTTCTGTAATCTAATATTTGTTCCTGTTTCCCTGTAAAACTGCCAGTTTTCTGTGTGGGCCTCTGACCTCTCCTTGGCCCTTCTGCCTGGTCAGGGAGCTTTGCAAGGAGGCAAGGGCTTCCTGGACATTTAATTCCTCCGCTGAGCAGGGGAGGGCTAGTCATCCACGCTGCTTTATACCTGGG